GAAATGGTCATATTCCTCGAACGTAGGGATACTCTTAGCAAAGACCCTCAGTCTAAAAGTCATCATAAAGATCATGGTCCCTTAATGTACCTCGATTTGCCTACGAGAAATGATCTTGTCCCTCGATGTTTCCTACATGATGACAGTCCCTTCGAACTGCTAAGGTATCTCTACATGTTGCCTTCAATGACCATAAATGTCCCTTTCAATAGTCCCTCAACATCCAACGATAGGGCTACCTACTCACTAATAGTAGGATAGAATTATCTAAAGAAAGGAGGAAAAGAACTCCTTTTTCGAGTAGGTAGATAGCTGTTAAGTACTTGCTTAAATCTGATTCTTTTTTAAACTTACACACTTTTCAAAATTCTTTTCATAAACGCTTTATCACACTCTTGAGGACTGATACAAGAGTTATCATAAAGCAAACAAAACCTTTCAAAACACGCAAACAAGAAGATAGTTTTAAAAAATGAGCAAGTACCTAAGATCCCGTAGAAAACTACGGATGGAAAGGGTGCTATCACCTTCCCTTTCCATAATCTACCCCTTACTCAGAAAATCTCGAAAAAGGTATTTTCTGTTCTTTTCACCCTTTCCTTTGTTGGATAAAAGAAAATTCGGTGGCGACTCTTGCTTACCACAAAATTTTCAAACAAAAAACGCAAAACCAGTATAAACAGTCGGTTCTGCCATCATATCACATTGAGCATATCCCAAGAGAAGAGAATCAGTTGGCAGACGCATTGGCTACCATGTCATCCATGTTCAAGGTCAGATAGGACAATGAGGCTCCGAGAATTACCATTGAAAGGTTCAACGAACCGCCATACTGTTATGAAATTGACAATGATGGAGTAGAGGAAAAACCTTGGTTTGATGAAGTGAAAAGATACCTTGAAGCTCAAGAATACCCTGAAGGGGCATTGATCAATGACAAGAAACTCCTACGGAGGTTCTCGACTAAGTTCTTCCCGAGCAATGGAATTTTGTATAATCACAATCATGATTCGGCTCTGCTTCATTGTATAGACAAGAAAGAAACAGAGAAAACTATGGAAGATATGCATGAAGGCATCTTTGCTACTCACTCCAGTAGGCATACTATGGCTAAAAATATTTTGAGGGCAAGTTACTATTAATCGACTATGGAAACCGACTGTCACCACCACTCAAGAACTTGTCATAAGTGCCAAATCTATGCTGATAAAGTTCATGTTCCTCTAGTACCTCTTCACGTCTTGACTTCTTCGTGGCCATTCACAATGTGGGGCATTGATATAATTGGAGAGATCAAGCCTACTGCTTCTAACGGATATCGCTTCATCCTCATCGCCATTGATTACTTTACAAAGTAGGTTGAAGCAGCCTCGTCCTTCTCTGTTACCAAGAATATGGTTGCCCAGTTCATCAAACATAATCTTATCTGTCAGTATGGCATCCCCGAAAGAATTATCACAGATAATGGTACTAATCTCAATAACACTATGATCACTAAACTCTGCACGCAGTTCAAGATCAAGCATCACAACTTTTCTCCGGATCGACCGAAGATGAATGGCGCAGTGGAAGCCGCCAACAAGAACATTAAGAAGATTATACAAAAGACGGTTGTTACCTACAAATATTGGCATGATATGTTACCATTTGCTCTTCATGACTATCGCACTTCAGCACGAACAACAACTGGGGCAACCTCTTTCTCTCTGGTCTATGGTATGAAAGTTGTCATACCTGTCGAAGTTCAGATTCCCTCTCTGAGAATTATGAAAGATGCAGACTTCGACGAAGATGAGTGGATTCAGACCAAGCTAGACCAGTTTAATTTGATTGACGAGAAGAGGCTTACGACTGTCTGTCACAGTCAGATGTATCAGAAGCGTATGATCAAGGCATTCAACAAGAAAATCAAGCATCATGTATATTCGGCTGGTGACTTGGTAATAAAGTGCATCATTCTACTGCAAGGTGATCCCAGGGGAAAATTGACTCCCACCTACGAAGGTCCATTTTTAGTCAAGAAGATATTTTCTGGTGGTGCTATGATACTGACCACCATGGACAACGAAGAATTTCCGCACCCTGTGAATGCAGACATAGTCAAAAGATACTACGCATGAAAACGACCTGCTAGGTTGACTGGCCTAGGAAAAAATAAGGGCATTCCAGTGAACCAAAAGGGTTAGGGCAAAAATTAGGGATATATATAAAAGATTGTACATCCGAAAAGTCGAAAACTTGAAAAGGCTACTTGGGAAAAAAAGGGTATCCCGGTGGACTGAAAACCCGAAAGGGCGGTCTAGAAAAAAGTTAGGGATTAAAGCGTACGACTATGTCCTGTTGGACCACTTACAACAAGCTTTATTACCAACATCAAGTTCAAACAATATAGATCAATGCAATCACTTTCCTCCAACAGCGAGGGATGAGATGCTTGAAGATATAGGGGCAATAGAAGAGTTGGAATCCGACGAGATTATTCCCACATAGCTATTATCTTGTTTACACTTTGTACTCTTTTCATTTCATGACAATTTACTCTTATTGGGATTTCTATCTCTTTGTACAAAATCGCCTGTTTATGGGCAAACTGTCAATAGAAATACAAATCTCAAGTTTCAAACTTTTTGTTTTACCTTTTTTCTATTTTGTTTGCAAAAACATCAAATGACTAAAATTGAATGAACATATGCATATGCATATGATTAACTGTTAACAAATATATGCATAAAAACTAGGAAAAAGCAGTTACTCAAGGCTCTAGGAGTTGGGATAAAGTTCAAGCCGTCCATAAATTCCCATAGAGAGATCCTTACTAGATTATCCCTAAAGAGTAGTCTTAACAAGCTCACTGACAGAGCGCTATGGCATATAAGGGAATATGATATTTTTCCCGACAATGTCGCCAACTTACGGAGTCCCAATCAGTACAGTTTATGGAAATTCTCTTCCCCAGCTGAGTTTATTCCTCCAAAATTGTAAAAGCCCCTGTAGATTTCTTTTTTCCAACAGAGCTCATTTCCTCATCAAGGGTGTTTCCTCTGATGAATATTTCTCTGTCAACAGGGTTTATTTCCCCAACATGATTTATTTCCCAACATATTACAGTCTCCTCAGCTTGAGTCTGTTTCAACCATAAATTACAGGCAAGATTCCCACCTCCAGCAAAGGACAATTCGGGTTGCTATCCCTAGAGAGTTGCTACTGAATCTTAAACTGGATAAAATATCGTTCAACCTTATTCTCTCTAGACAAGTCGATATGCATATCAGAAACTCGATCAGACAACACCTCGAAAGTTTTTTTATCCCCAATCAGGGTATATAAGAACTAAAATCTCCAATAGAGAAATGAACAACCAATGTTCTTGGACTCTTCTCTCCAAACAGGAATCAACACTCCCCAGTAGAGTTCCCTCAAGCAGAAATCAGGAATACCCATCAGGATCGAAGAAACACATACTCTTCATCCCCAACAACAGTCAAGGATTTATTTTCCCAGACAAAGATGTTGCACGGGTTTAGAATTACACTTCAAACAATGTTTCACATCCATACATCATTTACGAATATAGCATATGCATACAAAATGCATATAACACACTCTCATTTATTTTGAGAATATCATTACACAATGCATTTCATACATCATGACATTGCATACATCTAAATCTTTACCTTTTTAGGAAAGATCAATAAACAGACAAACATCATCAACTACTTATATGACCAGACAGTCTTCTCAAAGGCTACATCTGAAAATTGGCTACTTAAGCAATTTCCTCAGAGAGTCATTCTCAAAGAAACATATTTTCTAGTTGAAGTCGGGCATAAACATCTTCTGTCTCAGATTAAAACGAGCGTAGATTTATTCTGATACTTCTTGAAGTTGAAGCCAGGCGAAGACATCTTCTGGCTCAAATTAAATCAGGCGTAGATTTATTCTGATACTCCTTCGGAAAATTCAGGCGTAGACTCTTTCCAACATATTTTCTAGTTGATGTTGGGCGTAGATATATTCTGGCTCAGATTAAATCAAGCGTAGATTTATTCCGATACTTCTTCCAGTTGAAGACGGGCGTAGATATCTTCTGGCTTAGATTAAATCGAGCGTAGATTTATTCTGATACTTCTTCCAGTTGAATACAGGCGTAGACATCTTCTGGCTCAGATTAAATCAAGCATAGATTTATTATGATACTTCTTCCAGTTTGAAACAACCGGCTGAAAATCATCAAAACAATTAAGTCGCCATCGAACGTCTTTTATCCCATAGGAAGGAAAGGTAAACATCGAGAAAACCCGAGAAGGATGAAATCAAGGTAGAATGACCAAGAGATAAGGGTAAGGGAGTCTGTTACGTGAGGGGAAGGTATTAGCACCCCACACGCCCGTAGTACTCTATGGTATCCACTCTTGTTGTCTATCTTATGGGTGTGTTCAATCTATGCTTATTGTTTATTAATGCCAAGGGAGAATGCATGCAAAAGAAAGGAGAAGAGAATGTAGGGAAAAAAAATTGTGCTCGCCTGGGCCCTACCCCAATGCCTACGTATCCTTTTTGAAGAATCAGAGCAGCCGTAGTTCGGCTTATATGTTTTTTGTTTGTTTGTATTTTCTTTAACGAACAATATTAATCTCGCCTTCTTCCGCAACTCGACCTTTGGAGATTTACGCGTCAACACAGAAGTGAATTAATACGCTCTTTTGAAAAGGGTTTGAAAGAAAGGCCCGAGGGCAAAAGATTTTTATGTTTGTTGGTGTTTTTGCTTGTAGATAATAGCTAGTTAACCTCAAGAGAGAGATTTTAGCCATTTCTCTATTTATTCATGAAATGAGTCTTTGAGACTTGAATAATACCAAAGCTTAGAACAAGAGAATAATAATGTCGAGAAGAAACCCGCTCATCATCTCTCAAACTTAGCCAAGACATGGTTTTTGTCAGTAAATTTTTATGTATTTTTGAAGTTTGTAAAAAAAAGTTTTTTGTTTTAACTGCATATGCAAAGGAGGAAAGAAAGTCATAGGAAGACGAAAGTCACAGGAAGACGAAAGTCACAGGAAGACGAAAGTCACAGGAAGACGAAAGTCACAGGAAGACGAAATTCACAGGAAGACGAAAGTTACAGGAAGACGAAAGTCACAGGAAGACGAAAGTCACAGGAAGACGAAAGTCACAGGAAGACGAAAGTCACAGGAAGGCGAAAGTCACAGGAAGACGAAAGTCACAGGAAGACGAAAGTCACAGGAAGACGAAAGTCACAGGAAGACTAGCCTATTTCTAAATCTAATGTTATCGTGTATTAGACCTAAAGTTAGAATCTTGAGGGAATTCTACCTAGAAAGTAGTAAAGTTCAGGAGTAAAAATAGAGTTGTGACGATACTGAACGGAGAGGGTCTGTCACCTCTTCATAACCATGCAAGCCATAAGAGAATTCTATCAAAGCTTCCTTGAGCGAATGATTGAAAATTATGCTCTTAGCTAGCTTTGAAACTTCATGAAACTCCTCACTCAAGTCTCTTTTATTTACCAATATTGCCAAAGAAAATAAATCGCCAAAATTAATCGCAATCGAAATGAGTATGGGAAATAAGATCTCAGGAGGTGCGAACTAAATTCACTATGTGCTGCAAAAAATGCAATGACATTAGGCCCCATAAAAAATAGACACAATCAGCAATAAAATAAAAATAATCATAGTCCAAGAATTGATTAGTTTGGCCCATATTAATCATTCTTAATTTTATTATTAATCATATTATTATATTTATTTGTAGAATTAATAATAAAAAGAATAAAATATGTAATAGAGATGCTGGTTCAGAAAGAAAAAAATAAAACAAAAAAAACAATTAAAACTAAAAAATAAATATAGGAAAATTGAAAAAGAGGGTTTGGGTTAAAAGTGAGAGGTGTTTTCTTCTTCTCCGTAGAACAGCGGCGGTGCTCACCTTCCTCTCTGCCATGGCCAAGCCTTCATCGCACAACCTCAATGCTTGTTCTCCTCTCATATCTTAGCGATTCAAATTCTTTCTTGATTTAACAAAAAAAAGAAATCGCAAGAGTGTGTTAAAGGGGTTTACCGAAGCGTCTTCTCTTCTTCTCCGATCAACGGTGGCGCGATCTCTCTTCACACTCTCACCGCCTTCGCTTCCTCGTCTTCTCCGATTCCTTTTCCGATGATCTCCGCCGCTCCATCTCAGCTTCTTGCTTCAAACCATGTTTGCTCACTCATTCTTCTTCTTCACGTTCGATACTGCATTTGGTGTTGATTGATATGCTGCGTTTCGAAGTCAATGAAGATTGTTGTTGTTGTTGTTGTGGATTTTCGTTGAATATGATGCAGCAACTTGGAGATGCAGAAGATTGGTGCGTTGAAACGGTTTCATATATGGGATTGAGACAATGAAGATGATGATGGTTATGAGCTGCAGAAGAAGCTTGTTGTAAATGATGGATGAAGTTTGAAGATTGCAGAAATTAGGATGAAGATTGGGTTATGGAAGTTGAAGATTGCAGAGAGGGAGTTCAGAGAATTTGGAGGATTGAGATGAGGATGGTAATTGTGATGGTGAGCTGATGCGTGGATGAATGTGGATGAAGGTTCTGAAACTGAAAAAAAATGGTGAGAATTGTGGAGTGAAGATGAAGAAATGAAGGTTTGTACCGAGAAAGAGTGTGAAGGAATAGTTTCTGAGAATTTTTGGTGAGTTCTTGATCTCTCCTCTTTTGTGTTTTCCTGTGTTTGTGAAATAAAGAATAGATCTCTAAACTGAAAATCCCCTCTGCCCCTCTTTTTCTATTTGTGATCCCCCTCTATATGCTAGAAGTTTTGTTATTTATAAGCCATGAGTTGGTTATGTGGTTAGTTAATTCTGTTAGGAAGTTAGGATGCAGTTTGTTATGCAGTTATAAGTGGTTAGAAGGTTTGAGAGTTTGTTATGAATTGGTTACTGAATGTTAGGTATGCTGTAACTGTTTTTGGGTTAGTTAAGTTGGTTAATTGAGATATGGTTTTGGATAGGAAGTTGTTAGGAAATGTTTTATGAAAAAAATTTTGTTTTTGCCTTTCGTTATGCAGGTCTTTTTTGTTAAGCTGGGATTCAATTACAGGGTGGTTTTGAAAATGGTTGGGAGGTTTAGAAATTGTTAAATGGTTGTTTGATAGTTGGTTATGGTTTTGAAAACTGTTAGAGATTGGTCAAAGGTTGTTGGGAAAAATGGAAAGTTGGAATTGGTTAATTTCGGTTAGGAGTTGGTTTGTTGTCTTCCGTGGCCTATCACCCTCTTTCTTTTCAGGAACTAGTAAGCTATCATCATCATCAATGGGTAAGCCAAAATCATCATACTTCCTCACATCCTTTCTGCTAGCTTTTGTTGGTAAACTGCCTCTTGCATTTAGAACCACCTTCCCAAGGCCCGTGCCAGGATTCGGTTGTTTATCAGCATAGGGAACATGTTCAGTTTTTGATTTCTTAGGAGTTCCAGAACTAGATTGATCAGCATCGGTCTTACGTTTCAACTTAATATACTTTCTGGTACCTTCACTACAAGCAAATCTATTGGAAAAAGTTACGTAGAAAGGGATCAGTCCAATCTCAAGAGGTGGAGCTTGACAGCATAGAATTCCATTAGCTAAAACAGTAGCTGGAACTTCAACTTCCCCAAACATACAGGACCAGTTACATGTTTCCATATTTGGTTTACTCTTCAAAACTGTTCCAATAATAAACACCTGAATTTCTGATTCAGCATAAGCCCATTTAGGTGAAAAATCATGTATGCTAAAGAGCTGGTCTTGAGGTATGGAAAGGTTCAATGAGGTATCATCTATCATATTCCCACATTCATCTGTGCCTCATGGAATACCAAGGGAAGACTGCATGTGCAGATCATCCACCGATGCAAATGCTGTAGACATCCACCTAGAGAAGCTATCAACCTTACTCAGGCTTTCTTCTGCATCCATAAAAACACGTTTCATGTTCAATGCATTGTTGACATTGGGTTCGCCATGAGTTCCAAAACTAGATTTCAATGCATCCTGAGATTGTGCATGCTCATTTGACATGTTTTGCTGCACAGGCTGCTCTTGTGTTCGTACTGATTTTATAAGAATGGAGAAAAGCGATAGATCGATGCTAGGCAGCAGAGTTGCCTCTGCTAAAAGAATCGCAACAGACATGATACCAAGTAAAACAGCAAAGCCTTTTTCAACTTGTTTCCTTATAACGCATTTCCAAAAAAAAACTCCAAAGTATCAAATATGGACCCCAACTTGCCAGTCCGATCAAGTCTGATGGTTGAATTATATTCCCATCCAGTTGAGTTGCGACGTTCATAATTCTTTATTGTATCTTCCAACCCAAGGGCTTCCAGTACATAAGTTATATACTCACTTTTGTATCTGTAATATTCTTCGCGAGCATTTCGAAGATGACGCCTTAGTTTTTCCATTGACTTCTCATCTGTATCATAATCCATATCATTTTCCCCTAATTGTCCACCTTGTGGTTTGAAGGATGGGTCTTCTCTAAACATTGAGGGAATATTCTTGACTTTCAACTGAGTGAAGCAATGCAAGAAAGTTGCATGACTTATTTAATTGAGAGCAAAACCCATTAGAAAGCTCTACTTCAATGTCAGATAGAAGCCGTGTGAGAAGGGCCACGTGAATCTTTCCAAGTAACATTGAGTCCTTATCATGAAATGCCTGAACAAACTCATCAAGAGCGAAGGGACAAACATCAACAACTACAGCATATGTATATATGAAATGGAATACCTTAAATAATTTCTTCACCAGCTCTGGAGATGAGTCCCAAGGTTGCAAATGTATAGGTTTCTTCATCTTGACAACACCTGGAGGGAACTTGACTAGCACATCTAGACAAAGTGAGCCACCAAGCATTCCATAGGAAGCAAGTTCATTTGAACAAATAAGCAGATTGGTTCCTTCTTGCAAGTCTCTCCGCTCTAACTCTTCATCATCAATTAACATTGGAATTTGATCAACTCCCTCCTCAGATATTGGGCTGTCTAAAGCAAGTTCACAATTTTCTATAGGTGGCTGGTTCTGAGCCACATACTGGTTTAATTCACCCTCTCTTGTTTGCATGAAATGTTCCCTCTTCTCCTGGAATGTAGGTTTCCTATTAGGTAACTTATTTCTTGGATTTCCATTCACCATTACAGCTTTTCGAGACCTGATGATTGATATTGGTGTTTCCGGTCATAAAAACCAAAACCGACTGGAAGGTCTCTAGTATCATGATTGGTTGTATTGACTTGGATTTTTTTTGTATGAATGTGCAGGTCATGAACTGAAGATGAAGAACTTTGGCATGGCATGGAATTGGAAGTTTACTCATGGAATTTTAACAACTTTAGGACTAAGGAATTTTGTTCAAGTGTATTTTGTAACCGTTTTCTTTTCTTTGTAGAATATTGGTGTAATGGGATTGTAATGAATGTTTGGTTTGGATGAACTTGAAATTTATAGTGTGAATTGTAAATGACCTTTGAGCTTGAAATGTTGGGTGATGAATTTTTTTTTTGACGGAGTTTAAATGACAAAGTCTTGAAAAAATGCTTGAAGATATGAAAGCATCAAATTTTCTTGTAAGGTATTGTTACACTTGAATGAAATTGAATGGAATTGGATAGTATTTTCTTGAATCATGAATGAGAATGAAATTGAATGGAATTGGATAGTATTTTCTTGAATAAATGTTTGAACGCATTATGAACTTGAATCTGGAATAACGATGAACATCTTTGTAATGCGTATGAACTCTGACTTGAAACAAAACCTTGCAGTCTGTACTTTACCTTCCAAGAAAGCCATATGGCCAATACTTAAGACTCTTTGCCGACTTTAATTCAACCAAACACTTTCGAACATCTTGAACTCAAATCAAACTTCAAATCCAAATCACACTTGCATTCTCAATGAACTCCTAACTTCACTCTTGAATGGCAAATAATTTGAATAGCCAATGGGATCTTAATCCTAAAAATTCATAACCTCGCCCTTTTGCATCATGCATCATCCTACGATTCAATCCACAAGTCTCTTATCTCGACGAGGTCATTCTCTAATTGACGACCTTTAATCATCAAAGGTGTACACAAATGATAATGAAAGAACATGATCGAGATTAACATGAAACCTTATTTCCCCTGATCTTCAATTACTTGAACTTTTATCAACGAATAGAAACCCTGATTTTTAATGAATTTTTCTTTTCTGAACCAATATTTCTTTTCCTTTACCATACCATTCTTCAAATGCAACTCGAATTCCCAACATATATTAGATGAAAATTCAAGGGAGACCTTGGTCCCAAAGTTAATTTTTCAAAACTTATTTTAACCGAAGTCAACAAATCTTATCCACATATCTTTGAAATTGGCCCATGATTATGCATCTCAAGGTCTCATAAGAGCTTGTAAGCTCATCAACCAGGTATGCCATTTTGAACAAACCCTGCCTTGAATGCCTTGAACTTTGAATTACCTTGCATGAATTCTTCTATGAGAAACCTACTTCAATCCAAACCTACTCACATCACAGATAACAAATGACAATGATGAGGACAATGATCGCCTTGGTTGAGGTGAAATCTATGAATTCATATCTTAGGTCATGAACCACGCTTCACAATTCAATCCTCAGCCCTTAGCGATCGGTTATTTCAACTTGAGGTTAGTGTCATAAGGAACATCTTACAGATGGATGATAAAATCTGAACCACAGAAGAATTCCCTTGATGTGAAACCCTCACAATCTTGATTCCTCGTTCAGACGCTCAGAGAAATATCCGGATAAAACATCTTTGAACCATGATTCAACAAAACCTAATTTGCTTAACTGAGGAGTAGACGATTGTCATGTCACAGTCATTAATCCTAATCAAATGACAAGCATACTTATAGGAAAGGACGTCATGATTCGAAGCCCACATATGCCAGGTCACGTCCTAGAGTTCTTGACCAGAATGACCTACAATCGGTTGTTTATCAGAAGATAATAGCCTTGCTGCTTAAGGGAGAAGAAGTCCTTTATTGGATATGAGCGCCTTAACCACTATGACCCTAGTATCGCACAACCACTGAACTTTGAACCTCAGAGCTATATTGAATGAAATGTATGCCATGCTAGTGACCTAATGAAGAATGTGCAGATGAATGCAAAAGTCTAAGCCAAAAATACAGGAAATTAGGAGGGCAAATTTTGGGGTGCAACAGCTGCCCCTATTTAATCATCTTCAACCTGAAGGTGAGATTGGCGCCAGCCTTTCGAACTTTCAAGGTGGAAGAAGATTAAATACTTAAAAGGACCCAAAAATTTGCGCTCCGGAGTCAGTCAGGTATTATTACTTTTCTTTTTCGGAATCTATTTTTATTATATTATTTTGCTTTTTGGATTACATGGGTCATCGGGGTTAGATGTATGTTTAATCAGAGTTTGATACACAGCAGAATAACTTGGTTATCAAGGAACATCTGTTGGGATTTAGTAACAAACACCTGTAAGAAAGGTATCAAAAGATATATGCCTGAAGCCTGTAGTAGACATACGAAAAAAAATATCAGAGACATATATCTGGGGTTGGTAGTGGATATACAGGAAAGAGACATCAAAAATACATCCGTGGCCGGTATCGGATACGCACAAAAGATATAGACAAGATACATATCCGTGGTCGGTATCGGATACGCACAAAAGAGACATCAAAGATACAGGAACATATGTCTGAGGTTGGTAGCAGACATATGAAACATGTATCAAAAATACATATCCGTGGTTGGTATCGGATACGCACAAAAGAGACAGACCGAAGAAAGATCTTGCAAAGAAACACCAATCGAAGGCGGACTTACTAAGGAAGGAGACCAAACGAATGGGAGTCCGGACAAATGATGTCAATCGAAGGTGGATTTAAAAGAAATGACACCATCCAAAGCGGGATTTTGACAAAAGATACCAGCCGAAGCGGGGTTTTGAAAGATACAGGTATGCATGTCTGGTCAGAGTTAGATACACAAGAGCGAAGTTGATCATCAAGAAACAAATGTTTAGAATTTCTAGCGAACACAGGAACGAGACTAACCGAAGAAAGCCCCAATAAAAAAGGCGCATTCGCCTAAATAAGGATGCTAGACAACTAGACTTTGAAGAGACACTGAAAGACTCTTAATCATAAAAGATTAGCTAGGCTAACGAAAGGAGGACCCGACTAACGTGGATAAACCAAAACAAGGAACCGACTAAGCAGGACCTTCAAAGAGCACCAATCGAATGTGTACTCTGCAAGAGAAAGGGACTGGTCCAAGCAGACTCTAACGAAGAAAAACATGTTAGGCTTTCGATAGGTTGCAAATACGCAAGAACTAAAAAATCCCTCAGGCCAAAGGCAGGGTGTAATTCTTCAAGAGTGGCAATCATCTGAATTACCACACACCAAGTATGGACACTCAAATACTTGAGAAATAAGAAAGGCTATACACCGACTCTTACTCGCACTCTAACGGCAAAGCGAACACGGGTAAAATAACCAAAAGCTTGAAAGGGCAAGCGTAAACCACGATTTACCGGGGAATCCCATATGTATTGAACTTAAACAGAACGCCGGTCGAAGGCGGTCTTGTGATAAAAAAAAAAGACCAACTGTAGGGACTCTAAACAAGGATTGCCAACATGCGTTGGGCTTTAAAAGTTTTGCAAATACGCAAGAACTACAAAATTCCTCAGGCCAAAGGCGGGGTGTAATTCTTCAAGAGTGGCAATTATCTGAATTACCACACACCAAGTATGGACACTCAAATACTTGAGAAATAACAAAGGCTATACGCCGACTCTTACTCGCACTCTAACGGCAAAGCAAACACGGGTAAAATAACAAAAGGCTTGCAAAGGCAAGCGCAAACCACAAACTTACTGGGGAGATGGAGGAATACCAAAGACCCGACTGATGGTGAATCAAAACAAACCCCGCTGGGGAAACATAATAGAGTCACCCTTAGGCTTGTTATGGAGATAAATCAAATCTGAGCGCATAACAATCTGGTTACCACAAGTGGACATAATTGGCTTATACTTATGCATGTTTGAATTTTTTTATAGCGTAATGCTCCATACAATAGAAATGCTACGCGTTTTAGTAGATGCGATGTAATGATGCAATGTAATGATGCATGTTTAGTAATGCACTGGGGAGACCACGTCAATAATCGGATGTTGGGAAGACAATGAACTTTCAAATGTTTATTCTTGTACATCTAATCTTCTGTAGAGAACATGCAATATGAACTTCAGTAGGAAATCGAGATTCGAAACCATCAACCTCGAACGATTGATAACATTGAAGAAATAACTTCCTAGGTAGTAATACTGCAAAAAGTAAATTGCAGTTTGAGAGAAAATCTTGAATTCTGATCAAACTTCCAAATTCCTGGGGGATAGATACTTTATCTTCTGTTAGAACGGGGAGAGCTTCACTGGGGATGGAAGCTTTCTCTTGCGCAGAACTTCTTTACGAAGATAGCTTCTACTGGGGAGTATAGAAATTCTTAAATAAATAGAATTCTACTCAGACCACACTGGGGATACCAACGCCGGGGGATAAAAATCTTCACTTGGGGAAGAACCAAACATCCTAGGACAGAAACTCCACCGCTGACATCTCAACAAAATCTTTCATATTCCGGGATGAAGGAGTTAAAATTGGTGCTCCCATGTGCACCATACTGGGGAGAAGATGACACTTGTTCTAGAAAGCATGCTCCATTAGGGAATGAAAACTCGCTTCACCGGGGAAAAATACTGCAAAAATAAATTGCAGTTCAGGGAAATTTTCGAACTCTGATCCAACTCCCAACTTCTTAGGGAAAAATCCAACATCTCTTCCCAAGGATAAAGAGAATCTTGCTGGGAATTGGGACCTTCCGATGTAAGTCTTCGATAGAAGTGACTTTGATTGGGGAATCGCAAAAAAAGTTTTGTTTTTTTTTCCAATAAAATAATTCTACCCAGGCCGCACAGAGGATACTACTGTCGAGGGTAACAATCTTCACTTGAGGAAGAGAAGGTCATCTTTGAACCATAAGCTTGAGGTTTGGAACTCTACCGAGGAAATATTTCATTTATATCCGATCATTGGGATAAAAGAATTTTAAACGGCATTT